GTGAGAGAGATATGTTTAGTCGATATTGGAAGCGCGTACTACTACCATCAAAAAAAGCTTTCATCCCGCTTTATATATAAAACAAACCATCGAAGCTATACATGAGCATATACAATGGTCCAGAACACCACACACCACACAGGTAGCAAACGGACATGGTACAACAGGTTAATGTTGAAGACACAGCTTAACAAGCCCAAGACGACGACAACAACAACAACAACAACAACAACAACAACAACAACAACAACAACAACAACAACAACAACAACAACAACAACAACAACAACAACAGGGATGCAGGCGCTAGGCCTAGACGGGATGGTGAAGTGCTGATCTAATCCGGCTCGGGTGGAGGAGGGGGAAGCTGAGGCGCCAAACGATGAGCCAACATCTAAAGATCTGCAATGTAAATGTCAATAGCATCCGGATCCTAGCCACAGCTAAGCGGCCGTCAAAGCTGCAAGTAGCCACACATTTTGTAAAGCTCGCCAGTAGGTTGTCGCAAAGGCGCATGTTCTAGCTTGTTTTGAATTGTCCACATGGTCCATGCAAGCACACCAACGACCAACCATCTAAAGCGGCGCGAGCGTGGAGGGAAAGCCTGAAGTTCGTCGAAGAGGTCTGGGAAGTTGGTGTTGCACCATCTTTCATGGACCACCTCTGTGAAGCAGCTCCAAAGAATTGTGCCGGCACACAGAGGAAGAAAATATGATTGGAATCTTCCGCAGTCTCACATGACGGAGCACAATCCATCCCTGGGGCCATGACGCTTAAGAATCCCCCTTTCCTAAATATAAGCCCTTTTAGAGATTCCAATATGAACTACCCCTTCGTTCCTAAATACAAAGCCGAGACACTTATTTTGGGGCGGAGGGAGTATAAGTCTATACACATCCGCACACATCCATATTAGAGCATCTACAACCGGACATGGCAAATCCGACCTCTCAAACGCACGCGGACGCGGAAGCGTCCGCAGACAGTGGCCGGTCACCCCTCGAAAAACGTATTCCACATCCGGATACCTCAAATCCATATTATTACATGCAATGTGAAACCTAATCTACGCGGAGCTCGTCCGGTTCCGCTACCCGCTCGCCCGGCTCCGCCCTGGCCATGTCCGGCGGCCGACTACGCTCCTCAGAGTGTTGGGCCGGTAGTCGCAAGGTAGGGTAGGGCATGGGACACGAGCTGGCTCATGGGACTCAAGGCCCCGCCCTCTCCCATGCCCTACTCTTCTTGTCGGAGACCGGAACCCGAACGGTGCCGGTGGACGTCAGATCGATGATGGATTCGTCCGGAGACGAGCCGCTGATGTCCACCACGATGTGGTTGCGGCGCCCGGACTGATGCGCCAACCTCGCAGACATCCGCCGCCGCGAGGGCTGCCGCCGCCTCCCGCGCCCGGTGCCTTGCACGGCGGGCATGCCGTGCCATGGCCTCATCGGACGAGGCCTATGGTGCGACCTGTTGCTCGGCGCGCCACTGGAGGGGTTGCGCGTTCAGACGCCAGACGGAACACACGGCCTCGATGAGGCAGCTATGGCCGGCCTAGCGTCGAATCCATGCCCCATTTGGGCAGACGCAATGGATTCCCGACAGATGGAGTCCAAGCGCAGCCATCCACGGGCTTCCTCCTGGGCGCGGTGGAGCGCAAGCCAGACGGTCATCTCCTCCTCGGGGCCGCGCGGGATGATCTCGGGGTCGATGGATCTGGAGGTGAAGGACTCGGATCCGCTTCCCGCCATGCCGAAGAAGGCCGGAAGGAGCTGGAGACGAGCTTGGATGGTGGAGGAGGAATAAAGGGTAGGGAGTAAAGTGGCTAGGGTTTGGTCCGGCGAGCGGACAAAGAGGAATTTATGTGGGGTCGGGTGGGCCAGCGTGGGCCGGGTCTGACGTGGCGGGCGTGCCCGGGCGCCCCCATATCCGCCCCGGATTTGGGCTGAATATGGGGGGTACCGATCAGCCCGGGCGTTTGAGGGGTCGTCTAGGTCAAAAAATCATGACCGGACAGTGACCGAACGGCCTGCCCGCGGGTATGAGGTGGGTTGAGGTGTCCGGTTGTAGATGCTCTTAGAATCTCTAACAAAACTTATATTTAGGAACGAAGAGAGTAAATATAAAGCAAAATGAATGAACCTACATTTTAAAATATGTCTATACACATCCGTATGTAGTCTATTGAAATATCTAAAAGGCTTGTATTTCGAAACGAAGGGAGTACATTAAGAATTCCGATGATAAAGGTAATTTGAATGTCCTTTTGTTCTCCTTTTGACTCTGGCACATGATTGATGCCGGAATCTATCTATCTATTATATAATTAAAACAGAAGTAAAATAAGCCGCCACGTTCATCCACATAAGTTAAAATTATCTAATCCATTAGATTGTAATATTAACGGCCTTGATTTAACATAAACACGTAAACAAGATAAGTTGTGTTGTCACGTGTACGTGCATAGAACGGACCAACACATCCATGTTCCATCACGTGGAGTGCATAGCACAGACCGACCCACACAAGAGTTATGTTGTACTAGTTAGGATAGGAAAATTTATCAAGACATATTACGTAAAGATATTCACATGTACAAGTAGTACAACACGTCACGTACAAATATAGTATGTCCATCGTGACATCAACTAGCCTGAATTGTCCTCATGTTAAGCCCCAAAAACAAAAACAGAATATTTCCATCAATGGGTCAAGGATAAGCGAAAATAATAGTCAAACCGAATTAAATAAGAAACCTAAACATAAGGACACCCACCAGACCTCACGTGATGAAAGTTCCAAAACAGGAACGAATACGTACAAGATTTCCACACGGTCTCGGCCACGTCAGCCCAGCCACCTCAACCCATATAAATAAGTGCAACCGGCCACAGAAGCACGCACCAAACAATTAGAAATGGATGACCACCACGTCTTGAAACACGCCAGACGGAACACATGCCTCGCCGTCCACACAGCTTGAAGTTGACATAGGTAGCACGACGAGAAGTCATCTCCAACCGCTTCACTTGACGTCCAACGAAGTTACGCCAAAGCCCGCCGACACCCAACAAAGCCACGCCCAGCTGCTCCAATCGGCGTCGGAAGAAGTGACGACAAAGCACTTCTGGGCTGAATCATCAGACTTGGTAATTGTTATTTATCAATCTTTTTTTATGGATAGAATCTTCATAAATACTATACCCATTGACTAATTGTTTGCTATTAATTTTGAAGACAACTATGGCATACAAAAAGTTGAGCGACTTAACTACAAGGGGACAGAACTGGAACATTCAAGTGAAAGTAATGAGGATTTGGGATTCAGTTAATCCTACTACCGACGAGCTTATTAGCCTAGATATGATACTCATGGATGAGCAGGTCTGTTTTTCAACATAGTTAATTGGACTTTTTTCAGATTAAGCAACAGTTACTAACCATAATTGATTGTTTTTACAGGGTGAAACAATTCATGCTACTATCTGGAAGAATCTAATAGACACTTTTAGATCAAAGATCAATGAGAAGTCTATTTATGGATTCAGCAATTTTAAGGTTGTAGAATCCACAAAATATAGGCCAGTGAGCAATGAAATTAAAATATTTTTTGCATACAATACAAAGGTAAAGGAGATAAAAGGATCTTCAGAAGTTTTTCCGGACTATTGCTTTGAGTTTGCTACCATGAAGACACTTGAAGAAAGGGCAGGAAAAGATACACAATGCTCAGGTATTTTTATAGTTGTAATTACGGCTTCCAAATAATTGATATTTCTAATTGTTATATTACTAATTTCCAAATATACGGATGTGATTGGACTTCTAACAAAAATGAAGCCCGTGGAGACAAGAATAACAAAAAAGATCCCACAACCTTCATATATCCGCGAGATTGAAATACTAATGCCAGAGTAAGTGCATATGCATATGCATGTCTGAAATTTAACTACGCCTACTTCATGTGGTTAACACTAACTTCTCGAATTAAATTCTTTAGGGGTGATAAAATCAAAATCACGTTATGGGGAAAGTTTGCTTATTTTTTGACCGATGATGTAATTTGCAGCCAAACTGTCATTATTATTACATCAACGATGGTGCAGAGATTCAATGGTAAGTCCAAAAATCTTAGATGCTACTCTTATCATTTAAAAATTCTAATTGGTTAGTTAAATAGGTTTGTGCCTAAAGTCAACCAGTGCCACAAGAATATATATAGATCTGGATATACCAGAAGCACAAGAACTTCTTGAAAGGTATGAAACACTACCAATTAAAAATTCCCACTCATGAATAGTGACTCATGTTGATTCAAGATTGTATATATTATTATTTGTTTTATATATGTGCAGGGACTCAACACAAGTAACCTTACCAAAAATGATGAGTATAGATAGAAGTAATCAGGGATCACTAGAAGAACAAATGTTTTACAGGCGGAGAACATTGCAAGAACTTACTAAAATGAGGCACGAAAACCAGCAAGACCAGGTAATTCATCAGAATTTCAATAAACGGTATCATCAATTTCTGTGAGAATGAGTTAAGACCTGCATTGACAATTCGTTCAATATTCAATTATATATGTCACTTAAACCCCCACCCTTACCCCAATGCTAACGTTGATTGTTTTCAGGATTTTCTATTCACGACAATAGCTACAGTACATCGGTTGCAAGAAAATATTCAATGGTGGTACATGTCATGTGATAACTGTCCCAAAATGGTTACCAAGGAAACCAACAAGTATTATTGCAAGAGTTGTGGTATATATCCAGAAAAGGTCACACCTCGGTAAGCATATTATATTACTTAAATATAAACAATAAGTGTTATATTATATTTACTCTCCACTAACATGAATGGTATGTTAGGTATCGTATTCGACTCCAAATTAGTGACCATACATCTACTACAAGTTGCACTTTATTTGACGAGGAGGCTGCAAGATTGCTTAGTACATCTGCATCTGACTTGTGGACTGACTAGATGGGAAAATGGAAGAAGCGCCAAAGATTATTCAACAATTATGTGGAAAAAAGTTAATATTTCGATTCAAGCTCAATGATAGTAATCTCACATTTGGCACACAAAACTATGCAGTAAAGAGAACATTTGTGCCTGATGATAGGCTTGAGATGCTCTACTTGAACGATAAAGCCGAGGAGGTAAAAGTTTCATTAACTTTGTTTCAAAAATAAAGTACCATCTTTAGAATTCCTTAACCAATTCATATTACATTTGTTGCACAGGAATTGATGGATGATGATGTAGACACTATGTTAATGAAGAAGCAGAACATGCCAGATAAAAAGGTGATTGACTTTTTGACGATACACACTTCAAATTTTAGAGATGTGTCTTATTTTGAAAATGTATATGTATGCAGCCACAGAATAATAAAGTTTCACCTTCCTGCAAACTGGTGCCTGTGAAAGAGGAGCCATATGACAGCAATGAATCCACATGAAACAAAGACAAGCAGCAAGACGAAAGATCATCATCGTCATCGCGTCAGCTCCGTAGTGGCAATAAAAGGAGACTGAGATCTGTTGTAATATCGTCGGATGACTCAGAGGATGAATGCACTGAGACGAATTTGCCAGAACAAAAGAAAAAAGGCGTCCGCGAGAACAAGAAACAAGTTAAAGGCAAAGCCAGAAATACAATGCCTGAAGATGAAGATGAAGTACGGAAAGCAAGGCCGAGAAGAACAAGGATGCTGTCTAGATAATATTTGGATTAGTAGCTTATGAAATAAATATTACAACAATCTATTTGTATCAGCCAAGATAAGTAAGAGTACTTGACATCAACCAGGATAGCAAGGATACTTATTAGGTTAAGGGAGTGGATGTTAGCGATGTTCTTAGTCTAAAACAGATCGAAAACTATCTTCATGTAGTTTCCTTTATATACATGCTATTGTATCCAAATCAGTACAAGGACAACACAATAGATAGGAACATACTACAAGACCAGAGATTTGACGCATTAGGATTTGTTGGGGAACGTAGCAGAAATTCAAAAAATTTCCTACGTAACACCAAGATCTATCTATGGAGAGACCAGCAACGAGTAGGAAGGGGAGTGCATCTACATACCCTTGTAGATCGCTAAGCGGAAGCGTTCAAGTGAACGGGGTTGATGGAGTCGTACTCGTCGTGATTCAGATCACCGATGATCCTAGTGCCGAACGAACAGCACCTCCGCGTTCAACACACGTACAGCTCGACGATGTCTCCCACGCCTTGATCCAGCAAGGAGAGAGGGAGAGGTTGAGGAAGACTCCATCCAGCAGCAGCACAACGGCGTGGTGGTGATGGAGGAGCGTGGCAATCCTGCAGGGCTTCGCCAAGCACCTACGGGAGAGGAGGAGGTGTCACGGGAGGGAGGGAGGCGCCAAGGGCTCAGGTATGGATGCCCTCCCTCCCCTCCACTATATATAGGGGCAGGGGAGAGGGGGGAGGCGCAGCCTTGCCCCCTCCTCCAATGAAGGGGTGCGGCTAAGGAGGGGGGAGGAGTCCATCCTCCCCAAGGCACCTCGGAGGTGCCTTCCCCCTTTAGGACTCTCCCCTTTTTCCTATATCTTGGCGCATGGGCCTCTAGGGGCTGGTGCCCTTGGCCCATGTAGGCCAAGGCGCACCCCCTACAGCCCATGTGGCCCCCCGGGGCAGGTGGCCCCACCCGGTGGGCCCCCGGGACCCTTCCGGTGGTCCCGGTACAATACCGATGACCCCGAAACTTGTCCCGATGGCCGAAATAGGACTTCCTATATATAAATCTTTACCTCCGGACCATTCCGGAACTCCTCGTGACGTCCGGGATCTCATCCGGGACTCCGAACAACATTTGGTAACCACATACAAACTTCCTTTATAACCCTAGCGTCATTGAACCTTAAGTGTGTAGACCCTACGGGTTCGGGAGACATGTAGTCATGACCGAGATGTTCTCCGGTCAATAACCAACAGCGGGATCTGGATACCCATGTTGGCTCCCACATGTTCCACGATGATCTCATCGGATGAACCACGATGTCAAGGACTCAATCAATCCCGTATACAATTCCCTTTGTCTAGCGGTATGGTACTTGCCCGAGATTCGATCGTCGGTATACCGATACCTTGTTCAATCTCGTTACCGGCAAGTCTCTTTACTCGTTCCGTAACACATCATCCCGTGATCAACCCCTTGGTCACATTGTGCACATTATGATGATGTCCTACCGAGTGGGCCCAGAGATACCTCTCCGTTTACACGGAGTGACAAAATCCCAATCTCGATTCGTGCCAACCCAACAGACACTTTCAGAGATACCCGTAGTGTACCTTTATAGCCACCCAGTTACGTTGTGACGTTTGGCACACCCAAAGCACTCCTACGGTATCCGGGAGTTGCACAATCTCATGGTCTAAGGAAATGATACTTGACATTAGAAAAGCTTTAGCATACGAACTACATGATCTTGTGCTAGGCTTAGGATTGGGTCTTGTCCATCACATCATTCTCCTAATGATGTGATCCCGTTATCAACGACATCCAATGTCCATGGTCAGGAAACCATAACCATCTATTGATTAACGAGCTAGTCAACTAGAGGCTTACTAGGGACAGATTGTGGTCTATGTATTCACACGTGTATTACGATTTCCGGATAATACAGTTATAGCATGAATAAAAGACAATTATCATGAACAAGGAAATATAATAATACTTTTATTATTGCCTCTAGGGCATATTTCCAACAGTCTCCCACTTGCACTAGAGTCAATAATCTAGTTCACATCGATATGTGATTAACACTCAAGGTCACATCCCCATGTGACTAACACCCAAAGAGTTCTGGGTTTGATCATGTTGCTTGTGAGAGAGGTTTTAGTCAACGGGTCTGAATCTTTCAGATCCGTGTGTGCTTTACAAATCTCTATGTCATCTCCTAGATGCAGCTACCACGTTCTATTTGGAGCTATTCCAAATAACTGTTCTACTTGGAGCTATTCTAAATTGTTGCTCCATTATACGTATCCGGTATCTCTACTCAGAGCTATCCGGATAGGTGTTAAGCTTGCATCGACGTAACCCTTTACGACGAACTCTTTTACCACCTCCATAATTGAGAAAATTCCTTAGTCCACTAGTTACTAAGGATAACTTTGACCGTTGTCCTGTGATCCATTCTTGGATCACTCTTGTACCCCTTGACTGACTCATGGTAAAGCACACTTCAGGTGCGGTACACAGCATAGCATACTGTAGAGCCTATGTCTTAAGCATAGGGGACGGCCTTCGTTCCTTTCTCTCTATTCTGCCGTGGTCGAGCTTTAAGTCTTAACTTCATACCTTACAACTCAGGCAAGAACTCCTTCTTTGACTGATCCATCTTGAACACCTTCAAGATCACGTCAAGGCATGTGCTCATTTGAAAGTACTATTAAGCGTTTTGATCTATCCTTATAGATCTTGATGCTCAATGTTCAAGTAGCTTAATCCAGGTTTTCCATTGAAAAAACACTTTCCAAATAACCCTATATGCTTTCCAGAAATTCTACGTCATTTCTGATCATTAATATGTCAACAACATATACTCATCAGAAATTCTATAGTGCTCCCACTCACTTCTTTGGAAATACAAGTTTCTCATAAACTTTGTATACACCCAAAATCTTTGATCATCATCAAAGCATACATTCCAACTCCGAGATGCTCACTCCAGTCCTCAGAAGGATTGCTGGAGCTTTGCATACTTATTAGCATATTTCAGGATAGACAAAACCTTCCGGTTGTATCACATACAACCTTTCCTCAAGAATCGTCGAGGAAACAATGTTTTGACATCCTATCTGCAAGATTTCATAAATAATGCAGTAATTGCTAATATAACTCCAACAGACTCTTAGCATCGCTACGAGTGAGAAAGTCTCATCGTAGTCAACTCCTTGAACTTGTCGAAAAACATCTTAACGACAAGTCGAGCTTTCTCAATGGTGACACTTACCATCATTGTCTGTCTTCCTTTCAAAATCCATCTGTACTCAACAGCCTTACGACCATCAAGTAGTTCTTCCAAAGTCTACACTTTGTTTTCATACATGGATCCTCTCTCGGGTTTTATGGCCTTGAGCCATTTATCGGAATCCGGACCCACCATCGCTTCTCCATAGCTCGTAGGTTCATTGTTGTCTAGCAACATGATTTCCAAGACAGGATTACTGTACCACTCTAAAGTAGTACGTATCCTTGTCACCCTACGAGGTTCGGTAGTGACTTGATCCGAAACTTCATGATCACTATCATAAGCTTCCACTTCAATTGGTGTAGGTGCCACAGGAACAACTTCCTGTGCCCTGCTACACACTCGTTGAAGTGACGGTTCAATAACCTCATCAAGTCTCCACCATCCTCCCACTCAATTCTTTCGAGAGAAACCTTTCCTCGAAAAAGGACCCAATTCTAGAAACAATTCATATTGCTTTCGGGTCTGAATTAGGAGGTATACCCAACTGTTTTGGGTGTCCTATGAAGATGTACTTTATCCGCTTTGGGTTCGAGCTTAATCCTGAAACTTTTTAACATAAGCGTCGCAGCCCCAAACCTTTAAGAAACGACAACTTAGGTTTCTCTAAACCATAATTCATACGGTGTCATCTCATCGGAATTATGTGGTGCCCTATTTAAAGTGAATGTGGTTGTCTCTAATGCCTAACCCATGAACGATAGTGGTAACTCGATAAGAGACATCATGGTATGCATCATATCCAATAGGGTGCAGTTATGATGTTCGGACACACCATCACACTATGGTGTTCCAGGCTGTATTAGTTGTGAAACAATTCCCACAATGTCTTAATTGTGTGCCAAAACTCGTAATTCAGATATTCATCTCTATGATCATATCATAGATATTTTATCCTCTTGTCACGACGATCTTTCAACTTCACCCTGAAATTACTTGAACCTTTCAATAATTCAGACTCATGATTCATCAAGTAAATGTACTCAACATCCACTCAAATTATCTGTGAAGTAAGAACATAACAATATCCACTACATGCCTCAGCACTCATTGGACTGCACACATCAAAATGTGTTACTTCCAACAAGTTGCTATCTTGTTCCATCTTACTAAAAACGAGGCCTTTCAGTCATCTTGCCCATGTGGTATGATTTGCATGTCCGAAGTGATTCAAAATCAAGTGAGTCAAAATGGTCCATTTGCATGGAGTTTCTTCATGCATATACACCAATAGACATGGTTCACATGTCTCAAACTTTTCAAAAACGAGTGAGCCCAAAGATCCATCAATATGGAGCTTCTTCATGCGTTTTATACCGATATGACTTACGTGGCAGTGCCACAAGTAGGTGGTACTATCATTACTATCTTTTGGCATGAACATGTGTATCACTACGATCGAGATTTAATAAACCATTCATTTTAGGTGTAAGACCATTGAAGGTATTATTCAAATAAACAGAGTAACCATTATTCTCCTTAAATGAATAACCGTATTGCGATAGACGTAATCCAATCATGTCTATGCTCAACGCAAACACCAAATAACAATTATTTAGGTTTAACACCAATCTCTTTGGTAGAGGGAGCGTGCGATGCTTGATCATATCAAGCTTGGAAAAACTTCCAACACATATCGTCAGCTCACCTTTAGCTAGTCTCCGTTTATTCCGTAGCCTTTATTTCGAGTTACTAACACTTAGCAACCGAACCGGTAT